TCTCTCAAATAAATAAATAAAATCTTTAAAAAAAAAAAAAAAGAAGGCCTTCCCAGTACTTCAAGGGGTTTGACGTGGCATTGTCTGGGAGGGGAAGGTGCAGGGAGAATTTCTGTCCTGTTGGGGAGCTGGGGCTGGCTGTCTGAAGGGCCTTTCTGCCTGAAGGTTTTCTGGTTCTTCAAATTTGTTTCTTTTTGGATGCTCAGAGCTGTCTGGAGGTCCCCTCCCTCTGTTTTTTATTGTGGTAGATACACATAACACAGAATTTACCATCTTAATCATCTTTAAGTGTCCAGTTCAAGGGCATTAAGTACACTCTCGTTGTTGTGCAACCAATCTCCAGAACTTTTTCACCTCCCCAAACTGAATCCTATCGTATTTGTCCTTTGTGATTGGTTTAGTTCACTGAGCCCATTGTCCTCAAGATTCACCCACACTGTAGCACAGTCAGACTTTCTTCCTTTTGGAGACTGAATGATATTCCATTGTATGCACAGACCACACTTTGTCTCTGTTGGAGATCCTTTTGGAGCCTTTGTATTTCTTGCCTGGGGACTCTTCTGGCCTGCCCAGGCTGGAGTAGGCCCAGTTCCTAGGCCCGCTTTTGTTTTGTTTTTGATACTAACGGGGTCTGTTTTGGGGCTCCCTCAGGGACTATCGTGCCATCCCAGAACTGGATGTCTACGAGGCTGAGGGTCTGGCCCTGGACGATGAGGACGTCGAGGAGCTGACAGCCAGTCAAAGGGAAGCAGCAGAACGGGCCATGCGGCAGCGTGACCGAGAGGCCGGCCGGGGCCTGGGCCGCATGCGTCGCGGGCTCCTGTACGGTAGGCTCAAATGTCTGCACCTCCAAGGGTGCAAGGCTGGTCCTAGCTTCCAGAGCCTCGGGGGGCTGGAAAAGGAGTTCTGGGGAAGGCAGGTGGAAGGTGGTAGGAAAATTTCACTTGAGGGTACCCTTTTGGCCCCCAGACAGCGATGAGGAGGATGAGGAGCGCCCCTCCCGGAAACGCCGCCAGGTAGAGCGGGCCACAGAGGATGGCGAGGAGGACGAAGACATGATCGAGAGCATCGAGAACCTGGAGGACCTTAAGGGCCACTCCGTGCGTGAGTGGGTGAGCATGGCGGGCCCACGCCTGGAGATCCACCACCGCTTTAAGAACTTCCTGCGCACCCATGTGGATGGCCATGGCCACAACGTCTTCAAGGAGCGCATCAGCGACATGTGTAAAGGTGTGGCTTCCAGGTGTCCCCGCTGCCTCTCTGCTCACCGCAGTCTGCCTTGCAGAATTCTCCCGTAGGGCGTCATTCACTTGGGCCTTTAACAGCATATTTAATAGAAGTATGAAGTGCAGGGAATACTGAGCCACTTGCCCGTTGCTGGACAGGAGCTAGCACCTGAAGCCTGAGATGTCCGTCATCAGGCAGATACAAAAAGCATTGTGTGTCTGCACTAGGATGCTCTGCTGGACAGCTGAACCACAAAAGTGTCTGACGTGCTTAAAAGGTGGCAGATTTAATGTAGAAGTCTGGATTACTATTTTAGTCAGAAAATAGTACATTTCTGTGGACAGGAATTAAAAGGAGGCATGTGGATCTTGGTCCGCTGCTGTACACACCACTCCCTTTTGTCTTGTATTTGATGCAGTTTATTCACAGGTTTCCTTCCTGCTCCTTTTAGGCATTTTGAGTTTGCAGTCCTCCTGCACATATCGTTTCACTTAATGTGATTTCATACGTCGTGTGATGTCCGCATTTTAGATTGGGAAATTGAGGCTTAAGATGTGTCACTTGCCTGAGTCACACAGCTAAAGCAGGGCAGGTTTAGAAGTCAGGGCTGGGGTTTTCAGCTCCAAGTCAAGGATGGGGGGGTGGGGGGCAGGCCTTTCTCCTTGCACAGGGAGAGGGAAATTGCCTGCCGTGTCCCCGGCTGAGCTCTGTGCTTAGTCTTTCTTCCTGCCTCCAGAGAACCGCGAGAGCCTGGTGGTGAACTATGAGGACCTGGCGGCCCGGGAGCACGTCCTGGCCTACTTCCTGCCAGAGGCGCCGGCAGAGCTGCTGCAGATCTTTGACGAGGCTGCGCTGGAGGTCGTGCTGGCCATGTACCCGAAGTACGACCGCATCGCCAGCCACATCCACGTGCGCATCTCCCACCTGCCTCTTGTAGAAGAGCTGCGCTCGCTGAGGTGAGCCAAGGGCAGGGTGAGCCTGAGGCCCTGCATCCTCAGCACCCTGTGGCTCAGCTTCGTTCAGGGGAGCTCCAACAGAGCCATGGGTTTCTGGGCGGGCTGGCTGTGGCCAAGGAGCGCCCTCCCCGCCTGGCACTCTGGCTTGGACCAGGTGCAGTGGTGTGGATCTGGTGGGATCCAAGTTTTCTGGATCCACCTCACTTAGAGCGCTGACCTCTGGAGGGCATGGGTCAGTCATCGGTCTCCAGGCCTCTGATAGGCCCTCTTGTCCCTGCAGGCAGCTGCACCTGAACCAGCTGATCCGCACCAGCGGGGTGGTGACCAGCTGCACGGGCGTCCTGCCCCAGCTCAGCATGGTCAAGTACAACTGCAACAAGTGTAACTTCGTGCTGGGGCCCTTCTGTCAGTCCCAGAACCAGGAGGTGAAGCCGGGCTCCTGCCCTGAGTGCCAGTCGGCTGGCCCCTTTGAAGTTAACATGGAAGAGGTGAGAGTCCGTGCCTGCTGGTGGCTGCCCTTCCTGTCTACACCGGGCCTGCCCCACCTCTAAGGCACTTAGATGAGCGTGGCAGCCCCCAGAAATAAGATGGACTTGTGCACTGGCCATGCCCTGAGGCGAACCAGATATGTCTGGCCAGCCTGTTTAGTTTGGCCCGTGGGGTGTTTTTCAAGAATTCAAGCCAATATTTTAAAACCAGGGCATTTTGTTTAATATGTCAAAGTTGATGGTTTTTCTTTAAAAAAAAAAAAAAGGGAAGTTCTGGTAAAACTGGGCTCATTCCTTGTTTAGCTGTCTCCTTAGTAAGGCACCTGCTTTCCCATCCCTTACTCCCATGGGGCTTCCCCTTGGCATTTCTGATACCTGCCTCTCTGTGGGCCTCTCGTTAGGGGCCTCTGGATTATAACTAGCTTAGACATTGCTGTGCTGGATTCAGGAGGCCCTGCTGAAAGCTTCTGGGCTGTTTGCCTTTGTATTTGAATGATTTCATCTGTAGAGTCGGGGTCATCGCAATACCTTCGGGGGATGCCCCGTTTACCGCCTTGCTGCCGTGAATGCCGGTGGCTGAGCTCTCAGCACTCTGCACCTCTGAGAGGTGCCCTAGCTGGGATGTCCTTACCAGAAAGCACCTGAGAGTTTCTGCTTGTGGCAGCCCACAGCCGAAAACAGACCTGCTCAAAAGCTCAGGTGCACCTTGCCTTGGGGAGGGTGAGCCCATGCCTTTGCCCAGAGTCTTCCCCTGCCTGTTTAGCTCATCCTCCTTAAGAGTCTGCTTTCCCGGAAGCTCCTTGAGAAGGCTCTTACATTGGAGCAGGGTTTCAGGCTCTGCTTCTACGTAAGAAATAATTACAGCTGAAGTTTCTGGAATACTTGCAAGGTACCTAGTGGGTAGGTGATGTATAATTCAGTTTTCATCACACCTTTTGAGGCAGGTGATATTATTGACCCCAAAGTCACCCAGCTAGAAAGAGGCCCAAAGGATTAGAACTCAGGATCCAGAGCAACTGCTTTTTTTTTTAAAAGATTTTATTTTATTTTATTTTGACAGAGAGAGACCCAGCGAGAGAGGGAGCACGAGCAGGGGGAGTGGGAGAGGGCGAAGCAGGCTTCCCGCGGAGCAGGGAGCCCAATGTAGGGCTCGATTCCAGGGCCCTGGGATCATGACCTGAGCCGAAGGCAGACGCTTAACAACTGAGCCACCCAGGCGCCCCCCTGTATGACGTGATTTAACCTTCACTGTGAAGTTGCACTCAGAGCCTTAGCATCCCCATTCCGCAGAGAAGGCGTAGAGAGGGGACATCGCTTGCCCAGGATCACACAGCTTAAGCCATGGAGTTAGGGTTTGAACTTAGACAGCATGGCTGTGGCATCCATATGCACCAGGGCTTGGCTACAAGCAGGTGCTTGACTGTCTTGCAGTAAGGAGGCATCCACAGGGGTAGTGGCAGGAGTGGGGACCATCCATGTGTTGGTCACAGCAGTCTCATTTTCTGCTTCGGCTGTCCATTTTCTGGTCAGCTGATGGAGATATAGGAAGCCTATCTGTTTTCCTTACTCATGGGGCTGTGGCCAGGTTCAGGTGACATGATAAGTCTGTGCTTGGAGGAGCGCGAAGTCGGCCATGCAGAGACAGGCCCCTGTGACCTCTGTTTGTCCCACGCAGACCATTTATCAGAACTACCAGCGCATCCGAATTCAGGAGAGTCCCGGCAAAGTGGCAGCCGGCCGGCTGCCTCGCTCCAAAGATGCTATCCTCCTCGCCGATCTGGTGGACAGCTGTAAGCCAGGAGATGAGATAGTAAGTGGCCCAGAAGCAGGCCAGGGAGCCAAGTTGCTAAGGACATCAGCGTGAGCATCTGAGGTGCAGAGAGGGTTGCTGGCAGCGGGAGGGTAGGCTGAGGTCACTGGGAGGAGCCTTTCCTCCTTGTAAAGGACTGGCCGGTCGGAATGTGGGGGGTAGAAGTTTTGCTTTGGTCTTCCGGGTTACTCATCTCGCTGTCTGGCAGGGAGGAGTTGAGGAGGAGAGATCGGACGGTGGAGGCAGCAGGGGGAGGACCCTGGCCCTGAGTCTAACCCCGGCCCGGCTCTCTGGGTTGTGTCCCCTCTCCTAGGAGCTGACTGGCATCTACCACAACAACTATGACGGCTCCCTCAACACGGCCAATGGCTTCCCTGTCTTCGCCACCGTCATCCTAGCCAACCACGTAGCCAAGAAGGACAACAAGGTCGCTGTGGGGGAATTGACGGACGAAGACGTGAAGATGATCACCAGCCTCTCCAAGGACCAGCAGATCGGGGAGAAGGCAGGTGGAAGTCCAGGCGGGATTGTCGTGCTTCCGGAGGAGGCCCCAGAACCATGGTCCTGAATCCCAGGTCTTGGGGTCTGGGCTCCGTTTCTTAATTCTTTCCCTTCCTAGCATTGGCTCGATCAACTTGCCTTGATCTGGGGGGAAGAGGAGGCTGCGCTCTGGGGGAGGAGCTGGAATGCTGTCTTCGGGGACCCACCCCTCGACAGGATGGGGCTGTGATGAGGAGTCAGTGGATTAAGTCGAGCCCAGGCTCAAAGCTGAAACAGGTGGAGCAGTAGGAATAACTCATCTTGTGAGGGTATATCCCCTGGTGTCAGACCAGGGGAGGACCCAACACCCATTTCTCTGGGAAGAATGCTATCCCAAGAGGGTTTTAGGGTTTTGGTTTTGGTTTTGGTTTTTTTTTTTTAACTGTAGACATTTTTGCTGAAGGTTGGAGAGCTAGGGATTTAAGAGCCAGACTCTCAGTTCGGGTCAATCAGTGCAGGCTCCATTTGACTTACTGAGCAAATGGCATCCTTCCCTTGAGGCAGGGCCACATCTGACGCACCCACCTCCATTACCTTCACTTGGGCCACCGAGATTTGGGGTTCCACCAGGAGAGGCAGGGGTTTCCCCAGCCTCGGGAGGACAAGAACTTCATTCTGCCAATATACCCAGTCCTTGAATACATTGTAGGCCGTGTTCTAGGATCGTGGTGGGAAGTCAGACACAGTCCTTTGCTTCCTGGGACTCATAGTTAATCAGGATCCCCGATAATAAAAAAGAAAACAAAAACACAGGATCTTTTCACTTAATCAGTAACATGGGAAGAAAGCCACAACCCATGATTCTTTGCTGCCTACTCTTCCCAGAGGAAGATTAGCACTAACACGATGGACATGTTTTCAGACTCTTCACTAGTATTTGAGCCAGTCTGTCCAGGGCTGGCGACCCGGCCCTCGCCGCTAACCTGGCCCGCATCAGCTGTGTGCTCGTGTGCCCGAGCTGCCGAAGGAGCAGTGTGCTTCTAGAACAGTTCGCTAGTGCCCTCTTCCCCTCTGCTGCAGTTCTCAGCCACTGCTCTTCTGCTCTGTTGAGGAGACGGGAGCGGCAGCAGATAGAGCGTGGGAGGCAGGATGTGCTTGACTTCAGGCTTTGGACAGGCCAGTCCCTGTGTGTGCCTTGTGCCCCAGACTTCCAGAACTGCCCCTAGTGGCCCTAACATAGAAGGTTCTGCCACACTTTGGTGTGGTGATAGCTGCTGTCTTGTCTGCCTCTTTGTGCACACAGCTGACTTTGCCAGGCAGACGTGTCCCAGCATCATGGTAGTGACTGCTCAAGGTCAGTTACACCTGCACGCTTACACCGTGATCCCCTCAGGGTTGGAGACGGTGACTTCTAAACAGAGGTCTTTTAGAAGGATCTAGAGGGGATCCTTCTAGAGACGATGACATCTCTGTAGGACACCTTTCTGAGTCCCATCAGGGAAGGAGGGCTGGGTGATACGAGGGAGTGTTGATCTGTACTGACCGCTTTAGCCCACTGTCAGGGTGGATATTTTTACCAAGAACTTGGACAAAGACAGAAACCACACTCGGCAGTTTTGGGGACAAACTGAAAGGATGACAGGCTTGTCATGATGGGGCTCATTTGAACTATTTAAGCCAGAGGTTTGCAATTTGGTGGCCTGTGGACCACATGCAGCCTGCTGAGGGGTTTTGGTTAGTTGGTTGGTAGGTGGTTCTGTGTTTCCATTTCTTTTTTGTTTGCTTTTCTTTTTGAATTGGTTATCATCCTTTAGGAATTGAGATTGCACGTAAAAATCTGGAAGCCCCGGTTTTTGGCCGTCCAAGCATCCGTCAGTGCTAGGTCTTTGTTTCTGTCCAGTGATGACTGATGGGAGAGCTAAGTAAGGGGCAGTTGCCCTTGCCAGTGGGGCACGCTCCCTGCTGTCTGTCCCAGCCACCCCCTGCTCTGTCCTCTGCAGCCTGATGAACTCAGCTTGCCTTCCGGCCCATTTGGTTTTGTGAGCCCTGGCCGCTGACAGGTAGAAATAGTCAAGGGATAAGTGCCGTGTCTAACACTTAGATTTTAAAGAACTAACAGGAGAATCAGACTCCTTAGGTTTGGCTTTTGGCCTAATCATTGGTGTGATCAGATGAGTTGCTCGCCTCTGTACGGATGAGCTGACGTAGGTAGCACCGTGCCACGGGAGAGTTGTTACAAGGATTACGTGGATGTGCTCGTGTGAATGGTGCGCTGCTGCGTGCTCAGCAGCTAGCTGTTTTGCACGTCGGTACAAAATTTAAACTAGTTGTACAAAAACTGGATGGGCGTGCCACCCGGGACAATGGATGTTGAAAGCATAAAGGTCTGTAGGAGGATAAAAATAGCTTTAGGGCACGTTAGACATTTCCTGTGCATTGTCTTGTGCTCACAGTAGCTGTGTGGGTGGGAACTTGGCCGCACTTCGTGTCAGGGCTGTTCTGAGCGGGGTGGGGGCGGGGGCAGGGGATAGGGCAGTGTGTATTGAGAATTAAGAGCATGAGCTTCAGATTCAGAGGAATCTGGGGTCAGGTCTTGCCTCTCTCATTTAGGAACAGACAGTTTGACCAGAGCCTTGGTTTGTTTCCTTCTTTTTGATGTGGGGGAACCAGGATCATTATGAGGGTTAAGTGGAATGCTTCTTGGCAAATGTGTCATTCCTTAGCAGGTCTGGGTTTGAGTTCACCTTTTTTTTTTTTTTTTTTTTTTTAAGATTTTATTTATTTGAGACAGGGAGAGAGTGCGCATGAGCAGAGGGTGGGGGGACAGAGGGAAAGGGAGAAGCGGACTCCCACTGAGCAGGGAGCCCGACATGGGGCCCAATCCCAAGACCTTGGGATCATGACTTGAGCCGAAGGCAGACACTTAACTGACTGAGCCACCCAGGCATCCCTGATTCTTCCTTTCTTCCTAGCCAGTACATTTGCCCATTACTCTCTCAGACCAGCTGGGTCAGCGACAGCAGCGTTAGCCTTAGCGTGGTTGCTTCCCTGCCTTCTAGTCTGTAGGGAGGCCCATCTGGATGCAGCAGGTGCTTTGCAGGAGGGGAGCTGAGCCTGGGCAGCTGTGCATAACAGGCGAGAAGGGGGCCTGCTACTCTTGGTCCTGGAGGGAGACATTACCTCATCCTTGCAGGGGTGCCTGCCACGGGAACAGCCCTGAGAAACAGTCTGGGTAAAGAGAGGTCAGGGATGGGCAGCCTTGCACACCCACAAGACATCCAGGAAGATGAGACATCCATGGTGGACTGTCTCTCCTGACAGTCCCAGCACAGGTGAGGGTGCAATGGAAGAGTCTTGCATACCGAGCCCTAAGCATCTGCTTGACGCTGTGTAGGTAATTTCCAGATAGTAATAACAGTAACAATCCTATAATGGAGGTGTTACAGGTGCCCGTGTTATTGGTGAATAAACGGAGGCCCAGGTTAAGTAAGCTGCCATGCGGCAGAGCGGCTAACGGCAGAGCCAGGATCCCTGTTCACACGGTCTGGTCTGAGTCTGCGCGCCAGGGACTGCTCTCTGCTCCCTCTCCCTAAGTTACTGCAGCTCGGGAGGACATATGTGTGTTGGGGCGGTACTTGGTTATGGTGAGTTCTGTGGCCACCCAAGTATAAGTCCTGGTCTGAATATTGAAGCCTTATTACAGAAACTTGCAGACATATACATGGAGTGGGTACAATGAACCCCGCATGTCCTTCCCCCGGGCTCCACCCGCAGCTGGAGTCGGGCCACCCCTGTGTCCTCTGTACTCACACGCAGTCCCCTCAATGACTGCAACCAGTTCCCCACACAGTGTTTGACCTGCAGCCGTGGATCTGTAACAGGCCCTCCCTACTGCACCGAGCCACAGCACCGGGGCCACACTTTAAAAACAGGTTCGCGGTTCCGTGGTAGCAAGTATTTCCTTGGTGTCCGCATTTCCCTGATTATCCTTTTTCTTTTTTTAAAAGTCTCTTGGAGTTGATGTCCAAGTAAGGCCCGCACGTTGGGACTGGTTGATCTGTCTCTTAAGTCTCCGTCTTTAGGTCCCCTCTCCCTCTCTTTTTGTGGAAGAATCTGGGTCGTCTGTCCTGTTGAGATTTCGATACTCTGGGTGTTGTAGATGGTCTTTGTCGAACGTAGTCCTGGGCCATCTGTTTTCTGTGAATTGTCAATGATGCACATGCATAATCAGTATCCAGGCTGATTTCTTTTTGGGTGGGGTCCGTGGCGAGATGGGCTAGAGGTCTTGTGTTCCCACCGTAGCACCTGGCGTCTCCTTGTCTCTCTGTGATCTTAGCAGCCACTGACGATCCTTGGCTAAACCTACTCATTCATTAGGGGTCGCAAAATGACGGTCTTCTAATTCCAAATCCTCCTTCATTTATCTTCTGGAATGCTTCTGCGTAGAGAAACTTCTCTTTATTAACTATTGGACTGTGCCTAGGTAGAGGTCCTGTAGAAAAAGCAGGATTGTGCTTGATCCTTTTCCTTCATTTACCAGTTTTCAAAATAATGAACGGTTCTCCTCTGAGGTGACCGCTGAGTGTCATCACAGATGAGCGGACTTAAACGACATCGAGGCTTCAGCATTGCAGTGGCCATCGGGGTGATGCCCAGCGGGTCCCTCTAGTTGCCGAGCATGAAGCCCATCGTTCTGAGTCCTACTGGTGTGACCCCGGGTCTCTGATAGCTTTCTTCTTTCTTACATAAGACACTGCAGGTTCTTTTTACACATTTCCTGCCCAGACCTAGGATCAGCCATTTCTCCAAATAGCCCCATGGAGAGTAGAATTTTCTTTCAGTGGGAAATAGTATTTAGAGAGGCCAGCCTCTGTAGACATCAGGCTTGGACCACTGTGCACCAGTTAATGCAGTTCTGTGTCTCCTTGGGCTGGGTTCTGCAGGAAATGTTAGGGCCAAGGAAAGAACCAGCAAAAGTGTCCAAGTGGAAACTGACCTCCACTCCTGACTTATTATATAAAGTAACGGCAGGAGGCATTTCAGGCTCAGTACCAGTGGTACTGGCACATCCTCTTTCCAGAAGGACCTGCTGGTCATGCCGCCCCCTGGCAGCAGTGCAGAGTGGCCATCCGCAGGATGAACTGCTGACCCCTGACTCCAGCTCTTAAGAATGGGACGTCTCCCACCTTCATGCTTCAAGGGAGCCCCGAGGGAGCAGTTCTTCCGTCTGGCTGGTGGGCAGGCGGGACAGCTGGATCCAGTGGGTGCCCTCCAGATTTTCAGCACTGACTTTCCTGCTTCGGCGCTCCCTTCCCCCCCCCCCCCGCCGCCCTGCAGGGCCTGCTGCGGTACACGCCGCCTCGGTGTAACCTGTAAAGGGGAAGGAGGGGCATGCACTGCTTCTGTGGAGTCCCTCCATGCAGATGGCAGGAAGGTCGAGAACAGTAAAAGCGTGCAGGAGATGGAAGCTGCTTCCTACTGGCAAGACATTTCTTTGTTGTCTCTGGTTTCATCTTTAAAAATCATGCAGATTTTGAGATTCTCTCTTTTCCTCTTCTCTCTCTTTCTCTCACAAATAGATGTGTCCGTGACTTACCAGTTGAAATGACGACTTCCTGGTGGGCCCACCTCCTGAATGTTCCATATTTATCGTATTTGGCTACCACAGCATAGCCGGGAGCCAGGCACTTGCATAAACTTGTATAAACCTCTCACTTAGGGCCCACCCAGTCCTCTGAATTGGGTTGTGATACCTGTCTTCCATTTGAGGAGACTGAGGCTCAGGCAGCCACAGAGCCTGTGAGAGGTGTCTTCCTACATCTGTGTTGTCAAAGCCCACCCTCTTCCCACACATGGCCCTGTTTCACGGGCCTGGGTCTTGTCTCCTTTCTGTGACCTTTGGGTAGTCCTTTCTGAAATCTGACTAAAAAGGGGGTCCGACTGACATTCTGTTAAGCTCTAAAGTTCTGTGATTCTCAGGAAAAGCCAACTAATTGCCCTGCCCAAGGTCAGAGGGCAGGGCTTGGTGCTGGGGCCTGGTGGGATTGCGGCAGCCGTGGTGTGGGCACTCTGGGGCTGGAGACATCCCTGTTCCCTGAGATTCGAGCCAGTGGGGGACCTACCGTATGTGGGGGGTTGGCCCAGACTCAGAGCAGATGTGCCCGTTCTCACTGGCTCTCCCTCCCTTGCAGATCTTTGCCAGTATTGCTCCTTCCATCTATGGGCACGAAGACATCAAGAGAGGCCTGGCGCTGGCTCTGTTTGGAGGGGAGCCCAAAAACCCAGGTGAGTGGCGTTGGGCGCCACCCCCTTTCGCTCTGCGTTGCAGGTACCAGACAAGGCAGGACTTTGCATTTAAAGGTTGGGTGCCTGGGGAAAAAGTACATGTTAGCAGATGGCCAGACCGTGTATGGCTCGGTCATTGTAGGGAGAGTGTAGCCCGTGGCTATGGTACCTTGGGTGGTTTTAACTATAAAAATAATACATGAATATGTAGAGAGAATTATGTCCTCTTCTTAAATTGTTAGAAGTCACAGAAAGATGGAAGTCCCTGCTGACCACCGTTTCTAATCCAGTCCCCTCCTGGTGGGTCACTCCTGATCAGTGTGGTGTGTGCACTGGTGGACCTTTGCGTGGCCATTCACATAGACTTACACGTGTACTTACAAAATAATACAGTTCCATGGCATGCGTGTATTTCTCTTTATAAACACAGTATTTCTTGTACCTGCGTGTAAGTGACTGTAAAATACCCAGCTTACCTCTTCTTGCTCATTAGCATGTGTGGAGCATCCTTTTGCACTGGTGCATACTGAGCAGATTTATTCCCATAAGCGAGTGTATCAAGGTCCCTATAGCACAGCGTACAGAGCTGTTCTTCTCAGTGGAAAACATCTGCATTGCTTCTAGTTTCTTAACTTTCCTAAGAGCGTCTTTTTTTTTTTTTTTTTTTAAGATTTTTTATTTATTTATTTGAGAGAGAGAGAGCACATGAGAGGGGAGAGGGTCAGAGGGAGAAGCAGGCTCCCCGCCGAGCAGGGAGCCCGATGCGGGACTCGATCCTGGGACTCCAGGATCATGACCTGAGCCGAAGGCA